GAAATCGTCCGGCATCTTGGAGCTTTGGGAACCTTACACCTGAATCTGACCTGTGGGAGGTGTCGGGCGCATCACCTGCAGCCTCGCACTGCACTGTCTGTTCATTAAAGTCAGAGGAGAACGTGGCGCCACCAGTGGGCTGCACGCAGTGCGAGTTAAATTCACAGTCGGACTGAAACATCAGACACTGAATCTCAGCTGGTTGGTGAAGTTGCAGAGCTGCAGAAACAGCTGACGTCGCGGGACGCTCGGCGCGGCGGTGAAAGAGGCTTTTGTGAGTCAGCTGACACGACCACACTCACCATCAGAGCCGGGGTGCCCGCCAGGTTTCCACCAATGGCAGTGAAGTTAAACGGAGCCACAGCAGCTACAAACCCCTGAAAGAAACAAAGACATGAGAGCGGTCAGCTGAGGACGAAGCACCGCCTCACAGGTCCACCTGGTTACGTGTGACACGGGAGGCGTTCCACATGTCACGTGCCCCAGAGCGCCGTTTCCTTCCACTCACGGGTTCACAGAAAAAAAAAAAGCACACGCAACAAGAAAACCATCATAATCATCGCCGTGACCAGCGCTTCACAGCAGGTCCAGCGCTGGACTACACAAAACCATCGCGCTTCCACTTATGGCGACAGCAGGAAGTGATGTCATGTTGTGCTTCTGTTGTTGCTACAGCTAACTCTCAGCCTCCTTCATACACACGGCGCTTCTTCTCGAGTCATACTGAACACGTGGCTCGCTTTAACGAGCAGGTTGTTCCAAACCAACGCCACCACAGCGTGAGCATGTGACTCCGAGTTCACGGTCAAACAGAAACAGCTGACGGTCGAGCTGTGAATTCATCAATCGTCTGCTGACGTCAGCGTTGGGACATCCCGCGTCGCGAGGAAGTCACGATGTAACCTGATTTTTACCTCCAGGCCTCGGTACAGCAGCGTGTTGGTGCTTCCCTCTGCGTCCAGCGGCTGCTGCCGCTGCAGCTCGATGGCGTGTTTGGCATTAAACCTGAAGAAGTCGATGAGCTCCGCGGCGGCGTCGATCTCCGCCTGCACCACCGTCTTCCCCTGAACGCCCACAAACGAGACAACAAGGGAAACAACTGTAAGGACACGCCCCTCGTTAATCCGTCACCGCCCCCCGGCTCGCACCTACCGTACCTGTCCGATCATGGTCTTGGCCAGGATCTCGGCTCTCCTGGGTCCGCTGATGACGTCGGCGGCTTTGAAGAGGATCTGAGCTCGGTCCTCGACGGGCTTCAGGTCCCACTCCTTCCTCGCCGCCACAGACGCCGCGATGGCTTTGTTGATGAGCTCCTGCACGGGACACAGAGGACATGACCAAAACATACTGACAACCAGGGTTTCTGCCCCGAGAGCACGGACGCTTCACGATTAGAGGGCAGGAGTCCCGTCACGCTGCACCTCCGTCACTCAGACCTGCAATGAGCTCACCTTGTCAGCGTAGCAGAACTTCGCCACCTTGTGTGAGTGATTGAAGGGCTGCAAGAGGAAAGGAGAGAGAGCGGTGACCCCTCAGCGTGCACTAAAGGTAAACGTGACCAGACTGAGCGACCAGCGTTTCCTCACAGAGAGCTGGTATCTGATGTCTTTGGTCCACACGTGCTCGTCTCCCACCACACACGGGATCTCCTCCGTCCTCCCCTTCAGGCTCGCCAAGGCCTGCAGACACACAGCAGGGAGTAAGGAGTGAGAGGGGTGAGCGAGGGGCGAAGGAGTGAGAAGAAGGAGAGGGTGAGGAGGAGCAGAGTGAGCTCAGACCTTCAGCAGCTCCACCCTCTCATGGCTGCCCTCTTTGAAGCTCAGGATTGGCTCATTCTTCACCTCCACAGCTGCACAGGGGAACGTCTTAAACCTGCAAACACACACACACAGACACACACACACATCAGGGTACATAAAACCAGCCTGGAGCAGCTGGATTTGAGCTGATCAAACTGGTCCCACTGGGAGGATGCTGGACTCCTGAACTGTGCAGCTAATCAGTAACCAAAGACACACACACACACTGCTCGTGCCTATGGTACAACAACTTTTCTCCGTGCCCCTGGTACACCGCTCAGTAGAACTTTGCCACACAAACTCTCCTCGTGCCTATGGTACGACAACTTTTCTCCGTGCTCCTGGTACACTGCGCAGAAAAACCTTGCCCCACACACACACAGAAGCCGTCTGTCAGGACCTCCACGTCTTCACGTCACAGCTTCTTCTTCTTCTCTGCGACCCCCTAATGTGTCAATCACACGCATCCTTCCTCCTATTGGTGGTTGCATCAGTTGCCGCGGTTTCCCGAGCGTCTCAGAGCACTGACATTACAAACTTACATGTTTCTCTGCTGGGTCTGTTGTTTATCTGTGCAGGTGTGCGTGAGAGGAAGATGAACCGAGGCCGTTGTAGAGCCGCGCTGTTTGCTGATGTTTCTCACGACCTGGTTATTCCAGCCGGATCGCTGCAGCGCCTCCTTCATCTATGATTAACCCGTCTGAACTCTGAGCAGAAGGTCGGCCAGCTGCTGTTTGCATTGGAGGAGGAGGCGGCGACACGCCGGCTGGCGGCATGTCGGGCATTCACACACACCCATGTGGCTCTGCGGCCCAAACGACGACAGCAAAATGAATCTGAGCCCGTTCAGTGAAAATCATGCGAAACGCAGTGGATGACCTTAACGAGCAGATAATCCCGTGTAGCAGTACCTTAACGTTAACAAGCAGCTCTTCTGAGTTTGATTAACACACGTGGCGTTCGTGTGGTACGTATGTCAGGTTGAACTTCAGAACTGACCTTAATGTAAAGACTCAGGATTGCCACATACAGAGGTTACCCAGGCGAGGCTACAGATTCACCTGGAGCTCAAATATCATCATTTCACTCAGACAGGACAACAAAACCATCCATAGTTCAGAATCCTCATCGCTCCTATTTTGAAAGCTTAATTGCACTGTAAACCCAGAGTCATCGACCCTGAAACTCCCCGTTTTAACGGCCCACATAAGGCCGGTGTGATCTGAAGAGAGCCCGCGGTGCCACGTGTGCTTTTAATGTAAATGACTGACTGTACAGGTGAACGTGTCATTACACGTGCACTGCAGGCCACGCCATAAAACCAGGCGGTGAAGGCAGCATGACATCGATACTCCAAAGCTTCCAAGGTGCATTTTCCTTGAACCACTGCTTCAGTGTGGAAAATCACATGTGACCAATGAGGTCCCCTGAATAAATCACATGATTGGTCGAGACCGTCGATAACGCTTTGTATCGCCTCAGTGCCGTGTGAATGTGCGTTTTTGAAAGCTGGAGACATTTTCAACAAGAAAAGAAACAAAAACAGTGGAAAATGATTGTTTGTCATTAAAATCTCGATCCCATGGAAACAAGCACACCATCCCTCACATCCTCCGTTTCCCCGGCACGCCTTCTTCAAACTACTACATTACAGGAGTTTACAGAATCCACAGACCATCCATCTTTGCAAAATTGTGTTTCATCGTCCACGCAGACCTTCATTACACTCAGCACCATTAGTTCAACATTGTTACGCTGTCTCCTTTTTCACCACTGATGTCACTGAAACGACGCTTTGCATGAATGAACCGATTTTCAGTACAGTTGGTTCATTGCTTTATTTGCGCAGCACTACACGGCTGAAGGGTTTCTTCCTGTTCCCACTGCCACCAAGTGCTTGCTCATAGGGGTCATCTGATTGTTTCCCTGTGTTACTGTAGAGTCTTCACCTCACGTTATAAAGCTCCTTGAGATGACTGTTGCTGTGATTACTGTACAAATAAAACTGAATTGAATTTAGGTCTTTTTCCACGCCCTCCGGCCTGGACTGGTCCCTTTGGTTGTGGCTCCTGGAACCAGCTGTTTGACACCAAGTTTACACACTGACTTCTTTATCAAATGTTTGTAAGATATCTTGTTTGTTTTCATCCGAGCCTCTCGGGTAAACACACCTTTCAGGTAAATGGCGTAATAAAATGTATTCTTAAAGATCTTCCGGGATTAATGGAGTGGTACCCAGATGGCACCACCGGAGGTGCGAAAGGTAACTGTTGCCCTATCATATATCTATGTGCTCTTAATCTGAAAGGTATAAATACGGAAGTGTGTGAGGAAGGCGTGTGCCTCTGAAGTAAAACTCTAACAACGTGTATGTGGTTTATTCCTCCATGAGATGTGCGAGTTACCACGGTATTTCTGCCCTAGAGAATGGAACATCCAACAGTAACAATGTCTAGCAGGTGTCTTCTTACATGTGCTCCCTTCCATTTCCCTGAATGTGTTGGATTATGAAAGTAGTATTAAACGTACAGTACTTGAGTGAAAGTACTTGGTTCAAGTTTGTGCGCAGTCAGTTCAGGCAGCAGCTGCCGGTCAGGTGTCATTACATAACCTGTAAACCTGTCACAAGCGACCCACTGGACCGTTACCGCCCCACACGGCCAGCCTGGACCTCCACGCATGATCCGTCCCGTTACAGCATCGGTTATCGATCAGGTTATCGGAGTCGGAGGCCCTGAGGAGGCTAATTGGCTAAATGACATGCTGCAGAACTCAAGGAGTCTCGTGCGGGAGACATGCGCAGACCTACCCCCTCCAGAACCGACACACGGTCGCCCTCACGTGGAGCATCTTCCCGCCACAGGCCGCTGATTCACGCTGAAGGAAAAAGCCTATAGACCCGCTAGCAGAGCCGATCTGGCCGGAGCATGGATCAATAAACGATCGGAATCAACTTTCAGGTAACACCGACCCCCCCTCGTCGACTTCACACACATCCCAACTCACTGCGACCGGGAAGGGGACACTGGTTTACTTATATCGTTCAAGTGCTTCACGCTGTCGCTACGCATTGGTGACATAACTCTACTTTACTAACGTGTCAGTAGAAAACCACTCTTAATCTCTCAGATTGGACTAAAGAAGAGCAAATATGTTTACAAACCTTCAGGAATCATAGATCCCCCCTCCCCACTACCTACGATGGAACCTTCCACAGGCGAATCTGCCATTGGCTACTCAGTAACCAATAAAAACAGGGTTAGGGTTAGGGTTAAAACAGGTCAGCCAATCAGAGGCCATATTCCAGGGGTCGGAACGAGGCTCCATATTTGACAATGTTCTTGATCTTTCGGTCAAGTCTGCAGTGTCTCTGATAATTTATTTGATTGTATTTCATATTTCATATTTTTTTATTTTATAGATCCTTTTGCGCTTCATTATTAAAATTGAATTGTATAGTATTAACTTAAATTAAACAGAAATTGTATTTTTTTAAGTTAAGTATACAACTCAACATGTGTTCTGTATTTTAAATAAATCACATGCACATTAAAGTGGCCTCTTTCATAGCTGTCCTGTTCATATTTGTGTTGGGCTGGCTCCAGTCCTGAGGTTCACTGGACTTGTGAAACCAGGAGGAGCAGGTGGATTATCTTTCTGAGAAGAGCTGCTGAAAATAATCAGAATACTTTATTCTGATTCTGACTAAATGGTGGCCATGAACGATGGCTAAGTTATGAGAGCCAAAGATGAAGCACGTTGGCTCTCTGAAGTCATGCTGTCATTTACGTCATGAAAACGTTTATTTAATCCTGCTGTCATCTGCGTGAACTGCAGTCAGTAATGACACAGAAGGACCACAAGATGGAGACATAAACCTCTGACTGAACTCAAGACGAGACGAGATCTTTTATTATCCACAGGTTCTCAGGTGGAGTCTCTTGAAGTAAAGCCAGGTGTGCCCTCTGAACATTATTACTGCATATGCACAAAAACAATGCTTTGATTTGAAAGGTTCAGAGAGAGTTTAATGACTCCATCAGTTATCATTTCTGACCAGTTTAACCAACTAATGATTATTCTTATATTTTCATATTCATATCTTCCTAAATGTTCTTGTCTCACACTTTTCAGCCTACCACAGAGTCACAGTATATTTTAACGTGTGTTTGATGCTGCATGTAAGACTGTTTTAAATTTATCTGTGAACTGCTGCTAGCATTTATATTTAAAGCTCACAATACATAATATTATATTTGTAATAATATTTAAAAACGTTAATTTAACTTTTTAATTGTATTTGTATTTAATTGTGTTTTGATCAGCCATAAACTAACGACGACACACACACACACACACACACACACACACACACACACATATATTTCTGCCTTCGCGTTTTTTCGTCTTTGCCCTTCTTGTCCCAGTCTGCCCTCCGTACCGTGAGAGGCGTTGACAGCAGATAAGACTCCGGTGTTGTTGTGAAGATTAGGTTCTTATCGCCGATATCCAGCGGCTCAATTCACAACTATCAGCCGGACTACCAGAGCTAGCGGCGGCTACAGCGGAGCAGCGGCCCGTCCGAGCAGCCGGAGGCGGTGAGTGTCGCTGTCATTAGCCGCTAGCTGTTAGCCTGCTACCAGCTGTGTGACATGTAACTGCCTACAGCCGAGCGATGCTCGACTGATGTGTCCAGTGATTACCTCGACACTCAGCCCCCAAAGTCCCGCCGACAGGGTTATAACGGACCGGTCTGCCGAGCCTCAGTGCTCCGGTGAGCTAACGGGGGTCAGGCGGCATGCTAACAGCCGAGCTAGCTGTGCTTCATCATTGCTCAGGGCTACCCCGAGACTACACTTCATCATCAGCTGTATGTAGCAAGGTGATAAAAGTACATAATATTAGACCTAGGAGAGGGTAATCGCAGTGTATCAGTTACATACAGTTAAAGTAAATCCAGCATGATTAAATTCTTTAGGCAGTAAAAGTACACAGGTAGGATTGGGGCAAAGTCGTAAAAGTACACGGTAATGACTCAGAGAGGCAGGAGATGTTTATGTCAGGTGCCAGGCGCTCTCCTGAACATGTGGCTGCTGTTTGTGACACAGCTGCCTTGCCCTGTGCTGTGATTGGACACGACGATGGTGGTGGTGTTTACAGGTGTGTCTCTGGCAGCAGTGTGTGGGTCAGGTGGCTCCAGTCAGACACCATGAGTTCTAAGGGAGGCGGCACCGCTCTGACCCGCCGTAACTACAGGCTGGCGTCAGACATGGACAAGCCGAGATCCACAGGTATGAACGCTCAGTCACTTCAGCACGTACCCACCACTCCTGCCCTCCGATTGGTCTGTCTGAGTCAGCTGTCCCTCTGCCAGGTATCGTGAACGAGAAGATGCTGAGCGACTACCTACACCATGTGTTTCCCTCCACCAAACAGGGACCCACACTGGCCTCGCTCAGGTAAGCTCATGCTGTGACCCCCGCCCCCCTCTGATGCACATCTCTGAGCAGGTAAGAGGCGAGACCACCATCAGGTTCAGTTTTTACAGCTCTAAACACAAACTGAACACAAACTGATTTTGTTTCTATTTTAAATGTGCGAGGCTGTAAAACTGAAACCAGAGGCAGGAATGAGGCCGACGGTCACAGCTGCTGCTTACTCTGAGTGTGTGTGTGTGTGTG